CATCCGACACGAGTTTGCGTGTATTTATCGTGACATGAATTATAAATGATGAGTGATAGCAAAATTACATATCGTTTGCGATGGTTGGAATATTATATGTGCGAAAGAACCATTCGTGTGCGAGTTGAGGGAAATCGTTAAATAAATCATGTAATGAAACAGGTGTTCTCTGTATCGTGCCACCATGCGGGGGCGCCCTAGCAACATACTACATAAAGAATCTCTCGCAACAGCTATGCGATCTGATATACTTGATCAATCGGCTATAGAAAAAATATTACCGTTATCGCTCGAATGACATGAATTAGTTACCTGAATGGCTTAAGCGGTCGATGGCATTTAGTGTGGCTAGATCCAGTTAGATGGCGGTTGAGCTTCAGGAGTGGATAACAAGCACCGCATTACGCATAACGAGATTATCAAACAGACTGAGCGCAAAAATACATGCTCTCATCGAAAGCTGCTTCCAGTGCTTCCGGCTAGAGCCGCGGTCTGGTGGTGCCCCGTCTCCGTAGTTCCCCGCGAGGAAATCCGCTAGTATTGACCGGACATGAACCCTCATTTAGAGCTAACAGACCGCCCGGTACGTCCGCTGGGGGAGGGGCGGGGGTCATCTCGGAATAGCCATGCATTGAGCGGTGGCCTGGACACTCTACAGGACACAGTTCCACTGAACTGTGATCCACGTGGGTTCGATCAGCTCATGATTTGATGACATATGTAGCTATTTTAGTTTGTGATAAACTACTATAGTTTCAATTTATGGTAGTCTTCATTAGCTTCTTCTAATTCTATAAAGCTAACTGTATTCTGCGTTGGTCTGGAGCTACTCCTGATCGTGGCATCTTTGCCTTATATTATCTCGGCTATCGATGGATCCTGATCGCGCGCGTAAAAATAGACGCGGCGTGTGACCCTTCTAGATATATTGCCAATCCTGCCAATAGATGTCGTCAGTGATGTTTAGGGATTCTGCGTTGGTCGTGATTCTGTGCGCCTACGTTGCCTAGTGTATATGAGAATACAGTGAATGACATGTATACGTGTGTGTTATGCATAGAGTGGATATGCTCTTCGGAGACGAAATAAACCATCTTCGAACCCGGCGTTCTCCTATAGTTCAGTAGATCTCTCCTCGTTCTCCTCTCCTTCGTTCTCCTCCCGTCAGGTCTGTAGATACTTCCGCTAGGCGGCTAGGGAATAAGCACGGCGAGACGCAGATAAAGCTGGCGAGATTTGATATGTGTGTTTGTGAAATCCCCTTCTACGACGTTACATAGCTTTCAATCGCACAGCGAGATAAACTCTTGTGCTGCCAAAATCTAACATACAATACACAACAACTGGTAAGCATTCAGCAATGTCAAGACAGTAAAATTCCTTTCGGCCCGAGTATATATATTCACTACAGGACCAGCCAACATTATGAGTACACGGCATGCGCCGAGTATGATCCTAGACTAGCAATATCTATATATAATATTTGGTCTATGGTATAATCTCAGTCTTCGGGCAGGCCAGAAGGCAAAGGTCAGTGATACGGAAACAGCGAATCTGTAGATGATGATCATAGGTGCTGCTTAGCAATACCCATGTCTGCGTGGATTAACTCGTCTTCGGGTATTGACTGTGAGAAACAGTCCACCTTATATGCATCGATAAATCGGCTCCACGACTTCAATGTCTATAGAACAGTCTATTTGCAACGCGCATCAGGACACTGATCATGCACGAGGCACGACTTGATGTATAGCGCAATTAACAATCGCGAGACAGAATATCCAGTTACGTAAATTCCGTCGAAGGCGGCTCTCTAAGAGAAATCGTTCCTTTATTAATGGCGAGTATCGCAAACATCATTGACTCTCTATTTCTCCGCACAAGACACGCAATTACAAGTGTTTGCTGAATTTACGCGAGCTTGATACGCACACGAGTTCGCAGCGTTTATATATATATATTTATATATTAATGCCTGCTGTTGGGGGCACTATGAGAGCATAGTGCCCCCAACAGCAGGCATTAATGTTTTTAGTGCATCACATGACTATGCAATCTACTTTTCATGCTTATATACCTTCATTATACTCCCTAATTTGCCGGTGCATTCGATGTAACAAAATGCTCGACCGACACAAACACAACCGCCGTTCGAAAATCTTGCGTGGCGCCCAGACGCAGGAGATTCGTGACGTAAACACAATGCGTTATAATAACAATGCGTTGCGCAAGCAATAGTGCCCGCTCAGGCGGGCACTATCGCTTCATAGTGCCTGCTGCGTTATCCAATGAGGTTTCAACGATTTATCACGTCATGCACTAAATATATATAATATCGAAAATATATTAAAACTAACATTAATATAATAATATTATACATCATCTAATCGCCGGCAAATCTTTATGTACTCTTGATAATAAGAATCTATATTATGGCACCCTTGATCCTATCATACCGCATCGCATCACATCGTATCGCATTGCATCGTATCGTATCGTATCGTATCGTATCGTATCGTATCATATCATATCATATCATATCATATCATATCATATCATATCATATCATATCATATCATATCATATCATATCATATCATATCATATCATATTCATATCATATCATATCATATCATATCATATCATATCATATCATATCATATCATATCATATCATATCATATCATATCATATCATATCATATCATATCATTGCAATGTAAGTGCTACGCTAAGAGTGGGCCTGGCTTGCGCGTCTAAGACGAATTAAGTACGACGAATCATAGCATACAGTACGACATAACACTGAATCGCCGTAATAACGCTGCGACGTTAAACGCATTGCTAAGAGCATCTGAGACGCGATGGGGATATGAAGCTATCTAGGTCGCTGTTGAATGCGGGTGTAATGAGACCGAGCACTCCCACAGTTCGTGAAGGACACCCTAATGTTCCTACGCCCAGCCAAGTGAAACATTGCTTTACCAGGCGTAAAAAAGCTGAATGGGGTTCGTAACGTGCCGGCGAGGGTCCGCGTCAAACTAGTTCTGCAAAAACTCCTACTAAAACTGCTAAACTTACTAGATTCTCTATGATATAACGTACCTATAAGCATATCAGGTGAGCTATACAGCTTATGTATTTTGCGAACGACGTAGACCTGCTATATTCGCCAGCCATATAGAAATGCACACACGCATTTGCAAGCAGGCCATCTCAGCAACCGATATTTTACGTGCTTGCTTCAATAACATCAGGAGGAGATAACATCTGCCTAATTTAAAATGAATTAAAAATAACTAATTTTCACATTCACTGCTATTAATTTCCAGAGAGTGCCTTTATTTATAATTGTGCATGTGATAATGGATCGCATTTGTATGTCGGTTAGTAAATGACAGGGTACTGGGCGGTATATCAAGCTTCAAGTGAAACATGAGAAGACCCGCTATACTAGTGTTATGACTGATGATTACTCGCTTTTGTGTTGTCAGTATTCTCTGTAATTAGCATGAATAGATAGAACGCGCACGAGAGAAAGCGTGGGGGTGAGTGAAATAGCGAGCTAGAGAGATAGACTGAGAAAGAAACAGAGAGAGGGGCCGACGGACGGACGAGCGGGCGGACGGATGTACGGACGGACGAACGGACGGACGGACGGACAGACAGACGGACGGACGGACAGACTGACGGACAGACAGACAAACAGACAAACAGACAAACAGACAAACAGACAGATAGACTGAGTGGCTGACAGAGAGAGAGAGAGAGAGAGAGAGAGAGAGAGAGAGAGAGAGAGAGAGAGAGAGAGAGAGAGAGAGAGAGAGAGAGAGAGAGAGAGAGAGAGGGAGAGAGACGCATGGATTAACATGTATACCCGGAACAGTATAATTAGCTCGGAAACGTGATGGCACAAAGAAATTTAATCTTAATCGCTGGCTAGCTATATATACGGCGGAAGATTGGGATCATCTAATTTATCGGCAAGCGCGAAGTAAACTAAACTTCAGCCAATGACGTCATCACCTAAAGTAATGGCGACGCAAAGATGGCGGCGCACATGGGGGCCGCCATTGCGCGCGCGAGAGAGAGATTACCTTCATTACGATCAGTAGGCATAATTCCTCCGCGCGGATCCTCTCATATTGCCGGGTCGAGCAAAATCATTTGAGATATAATTGTTTTGTTTCACTTCGTGCGCATTCTAATGGCGCCGCCGCCTCATGACGTGTGCGGCGTATATGTCAATTACGAACTCGCTGGAGTCTAGACAACGCATACAGACGCGTATAGTGCAATAGCTTCCACGACGCAAGCGCCCCCCCCCCACAGAACGGCGATTCGCAAATTTTCTGCTACAGTCGCAATGCCTACCGGGAAGGAAACCCTCAGCGTCGAACGCAGAAGGTCTGAAATGGACTCGAGAAGAGGAAAAAATCCGTTGATTTCAGGCGTGACTGTGTGTGGGTGATCGCGCGCGCGGCGACTGTACGCCGACTGATAACCGTATTACCCACTCGACGTGCGTCACCGAATAACTCCCCCTATAGTATTTGTTACGCTCGCAGCCCGTCGCTTGTCGTCGATACAGGGCGTCTGTGTTGCCTGCGAGCTGTTTTCGGCCGCCGCACAAACAGGCCGAATCACGAATCAGTCTGGTCGTCGCGTTAATTCGAGCGAAATGTTGCGCCGAGCCGTGTAGCGCGCGCGCGCGCGTGTGTGTGTGTGTGTGTGTGTGTGTGTGTGTGTGTGTGTGTGT